AAACATCTAAATTTTTCTTAATACAAGAAGCATTTTTGAGGATCTAATAATGATAATTCTTTGGCAGGATACCAAAAAAATATACTCGTAACACTATTTCAGAGAGTATGATCTTATCAGATTCTACCGTTTTTGCATACTTTTTTATTTCAATGTGATTTCGACGGATCTAATGTTATTAAGCATACACCTATGGAAATTTAAATGTCATGATACAAGATTTGTTAGGTACATACATGTCAAATGAGTTAAAAGAAAATTACCAGACCTAGAGCAAGTTTTGAAGTCTTTATTAGAAACTACCAGCAGGAAAAGTGTCATCAAAGAACTACAAAACCCCTTCTATGGAATTGTACAAAAGATGGGACTAAATGGATTCCTAAAAATGAAATGAACCTCTTGGTATCAGTGAGAAAATAACAAGCTTCAACTGTTCCAAGCAATTCTCTGAAGTTCTTGTTTGATTGTTGCTGCTGATACCGGATTTGGTCCCTTGATCTGCAAGTAAAGAAAAGTTCACCATTTAAAGGGTTGATATAACTTCTTAGAATGTCCATCATCAATGGACCTGGTTAAAAACTACATGACAAAGAAAAAGCTCTTGCTTATAAAGTTAAAACTCAATCTTCATACCGTAGATTGAATAATTAAGGAAATGATCCCGTCGACAGTGGAAGATTGAACCGAGTGAGAATCTAAATGGAGATTGCTCAAGGCATCTATGATTTCTAGCAACAATCCCTCCCTCCATGGACATCTGATCTCAATTATGACAACTTTGTTCTTCATACTAACAGCTATACTATCAGCTGAGCTATCCTTTGACACTGTGTGATTCGTGTATGGCCCCACTTCCTCCATGTCACAAGCCTTCCTCTTGTTCACTGATGGCTTCTTCGCCTTATCATTTTTCTTGTTTCCGTAGTTATCAGATGTTCCCTCTCTGGCATCTTGGGGTTTTCTCCTTGTTTTTGGTTCTAAGTCTTCCAACTCCCTGCAAGATTCCAACTCCTCAATCCTTCTCTCTAGCTCTTTCAGATATTCTATTGCATCATCAAGTATAGATACTTTGTCATCCTGTAAAGACAAAATGGAAAAGCGTTTTACTTTGTACTTAAATGTCTTGGCTAATGGAGGGGGCAAAAAAAAAAAAA